ATAGACGGCCACCCTGTCTCACTTCAGAACAGGCTTTCCAGAGGGGATCGCTACCATTTCAGTCTAACTGGAAGTCCATGAAAGAGTTTTCCCAAATCAGCAACAAGATGGAATTATTGTAGGGTTAAGTTTTCAAGGTGCTATTAATGCTAGAGCAAGTTATTTTACAAAACAACACAAGGCCAGTGTTAGGACACACTTCTTTATAAAGATCCAGCACTTGAGAGGCAGAAGCAGGTGAGACTGGTCTTTGAGAGTTCGAGGCCATCCTAATCTACACAACAGCCAGTTCCAGGGCTACATAGTCAGACCCCGTCTCAACCACAACTAAACAAAACCATCTAAGCCCTTCCAAAACGTCAGACCGCCAACGGAATTCTCTTACAGGGGTGACTACATAGCAGATTGATTTTCAGCTGTTAGAGACAGCAAAATCTATTCCTGATTGACAAATTCATTAAATCGATAAATATTTACTACAACTTCCAAGATAAGTTTGCATTTCTTATAATAAGGATTGTATAAAGTTACACAGCATCTCTTATGTTCCAAACCACAACCTAATAAGGACCTTGAGATGCATCCCTGAATAAGGCCTGGAATCTTTATCTCTAATGGGCAGAGATAGGCAACACCAAGTATTTAATGAGAAATTGTCCAACTTCAATACTTTAAAAAAGGATAAACCCTGCCTCAATGATTCTGGTATGCCGCCTTAAGTGATTTTATTATTTTTATTTATATATGTACTTATTTTGGAGGCAGGGTCTCACTATGTAGCCATGGCTGGCCACAAACTCACTAGAAATCTACCTGCCTCTACCTCCCAAGACCTGGGATTAAAGAGTGCACCACCAAGTCTGGCTTCAGTGATTTACGCTGGAGTCACCTGGGAAATACCCTGACTCAGACCACTCCGAAACGCAGCTGTTTGCTCAGAGGGCATGGGGCAGACAGCTGAACGCCAGGAGGTCATGGGTCCTGGCCCTCATTTTATGATAGGACTGTTTAATCTACTTTTAAGTGCCTTAAACTTTTAGTAATGCCTTCCAAAGTGGCTTTTAGCTGGTTGGGACTACCACTAAGTGACCAAAAAGACTCTCCAAGAAGCTAGTTTGCTCAAGTCAGACTTTCCAATGGGAACAGAAGGCTGTGAGAACACCCATTCCAATCACACGTTCCCATCTCATTCTCAACACTCAGGCTCCGCCTAGAAAACACTGTTGTAAGGCACTAGGGGTGGGGTACCAACCCTTTCCACTCCTGTTCATTTCCTCCACTACCCTGAGAGCTCTAAGGGCCCTGCAACATCTGCCCCAAGGGCCAGCTTTTACTGGCTCCAATATTTGTTTAGACCCAACTGTCAGGAAACGTTGCCCTTCCTTTAGAGGGTCTGTTGGTCTTATTGTTTTCGCTTTCTTTTTTCCCTTTTAGTCTCACAGAGCCTGTTCAACCTGAACAGCCACAGGATGGTTCCCCCTCCTTTCCTCAAGGGCCTAAGAGCAGTCCTACTTCCAGGGCCAGTAAGGATTCTGGAGATCACAGTTACTGGTCCTTTTGTTGTTCCTTTCTTTTATTGTTATTTAAAGCCAGGCCAGAAATGCCAGGTGCATATCTATAATCCCAGCACTCAACTGGGAGGTGTCGGCAGGAATAGGAGGGAGAGGTTCAAGATCATTCTTGGCTACACAGTGATTTCGAGATCAGCCTCAACTCCAGGAGACCCTGTCTCAAAAAAGAAGAAACACGTGATCCACAATGCGGACTAAAGGGATCTTTTTTTTTTTTTTTAATCCAGGCTTCCACATTTCCTTGCCCTATTTTTTTTAAATATTTATTTATTTATTATGTATACAATATTCTGTCTGTGTGTATGTCTGCAGGCCAGAAGAGGGCACCAGACCTCATTACAGATGGTTGTGAGCCACCATGTGGTTGCTGGGAATTGAACTCAGGACCTTTGGAAGAGCAGGCAATGCTCTTAACCACTGAGCCATCTCTCCAGCCCCCCCTTGCCCTATTTTTTAAAATAAGTTTGCATGTTCTGCTATGTGTGGGCATCTCACAAAATAAAGGTTTAGTTTCAAAGATGCCACCCTGGAATATTACCAATTCGAAGTATTTAAAATCAAAGATGCCTTCAATTCATTGGTGGGTTGCTTTCACCACTAAAATATAAGCTCCATGCTTTCCGATACAATCTGAGTTCTTAGAAGAGCAGGAGAGACAATGGCAAGAAACAAAATAGCCGAACCTTCTATGTTATAAACCAGGACTCCAATAGACAGATGTCAAAGGACCTGCCCGCATCATCCAAAACAGGAACTAGCCAAAGTGGGGGAGGACCTAGAATCTACGTCTGCTGGACTCAAACTCCACTCCACACTACCTACCAAGACATGAAATGGTAGTTTAAAAAAGAAAATGAACTGGAATTCTAGCTAAATCTTAAGAGTACTGGTTGCTCTTGCAGAGAAGCTGGGTTCAACCACCAGGATCTACTTGGTAGCTCATAGTCATCTGTAACTCCAGTTCTCAAGGATCCAAAACCCTCCTCTAGCCTCCAGAGGTACAAGGTGCACAGGCAGACCTGCAGATTAAACACCCATACACACAAAATAATAAACAAAATTCTGATATTTAATCAACACGTAAATTATATAATACATGGGGGGGGGAGCGGGAGAGAATGAAGATGCTATGTGAGAGGTTCAGGTTTCCATATGTCCACTCTTTATCCAACAGCCCTACTCTCCCAGTCAAAAACCAACACCTCGTTCAGGCATGCAGACTCGGTTGCAAGGCCCGGAGAGATGATGAATACCATGACAGGAATAATTACTATGTCAAGTAGTAACAGGTGGATGACCAAAATAGGGGTGGGCAGGGGCAGACAGCAGTGTCCTGTGGTTGAACACATCTAAGTACTTAGCTAAACTAAGACACCGATCCTTGGAATTCTTAGAATACTCTGAGTTTCTTCTGTGACCTTGGGCCAATCACACCCTTCCTGAGCCCAGCATCCTAATCAGAAAATGATGCTGGAATCCCAGTGGTCCTCCTCACCTCAGCCAACACCTCTGCTGCTGAGATCAAAAGGATTTATATGAAAGGGTCCTGCACGACAGCCCCGCATAAATAAAGGGGTTGTTTTTTTCAAATGGGCTTGATGTTTAATCCCAACAGCCTTTATAAATTTTCAAGGGTTCTAAAAAAAGAAAAAAGAAAAGAAAAGAAAAACCCCTGAGGATTTACTGTTTCCAACACTTACAGTAATAGCGATCCAGCCTGAGTCTCTGCACTTCCTGGGGTTATTGGCTCAGTTAGAACTACAAGGGAAGAAGCTATTATGCCAGTCAGCAAAAAGAAAACCAGCTTGGATACTAAGAACCAGGAAAAGCCAAGTCACTTGAAAGGCTGCCAACGTCACCAGGACCTCATTTACAATGCAAAGGTAAAGAGACTCAGTGGGCGCCAGAATCCCAGAGGGAATTAAAATTGTGCGCCGCCAAGCCGCGCAGGAGCACAAGCTACCCAGCTCTCACACGCCAACGCCCTCGGCTTCCTAAAGCTTAGGCTATAAACTTGGAAGGACCGCTATTTTGCAAGGAGTCTTTCAATTGGTGAGTGCTGTCCTCCAAACAAACTTTTCGGCCTCTTTAGGGAAACTTTAATACAGACAAAACATTTTTAAAAAGGTTAAGCCCCTGAAGATTTCAGTTTTAGAATACAGACGAAAATTAGCCCCTTGCTCCAAAGACTGTTTAGAATCTTCTAGATGAACTACAAAGGGGTGCGCTAGCTACAACAGCGGGAGAGAATAAACCACGCTCTTGCTAGCAGTCTGACAACGGTGTGTTTCATTACTTCTACGCGATTCTCTTCGCACCGCAGACACCCGCAGCTTCGGGGTGTCAACAGCCCTGACAATGCCAATGCATTCTACCAGGGGTGGGACAGCGCTGTGACAATCCTGACATGCTTCGGCTCCCGGGAGGTTAATGGGAATTAAACCACAGCAGCCCTCCTTTGTGGCGCTTTGGCCGGAACAGCAAAAAGGAGACAATGAGCGGTCTGTGCGCAGTTCCACGCGGATTGGCTGGTCCCCCCCCCCCCCCCCGAAACCCCTGATGTCATGGACTTGGAATGCAGGCAGGGAGGAAGGAAAGAGAGGATTTGGGGAGGGGGACGCCTCTCATCTCTTTCCCAGACCAAAAGTCCGAGAGATAAACCCCGATGCATTCTTGAGATGAGTACTCGGAAAAGCAGGGTCGCCAGATTCCGATCACTCCAAAAATACAACCCGCCACAGCAAACAAACCCCCGAACAAAAGCGACCCTGCCGAGAGATCATGACAATTCAACGAGCTGCAAACTTCTCAGAATTGCATTTCTAAGTCTCCCATCAACAGCTGAGCCGGCTCTCAGGCTGCGCGTTCAGGCTTTTGTCTGGGTTTCCCTCACCAGAGCCAATGGCACCGAGGCACCACCGACGGGCTCCCTTTCCGCCCGCGGGTCCCAGGGGTCGGCGGGACACTCAGCATCCCCTCCCTTGGAGAAGGAGAGGAACAATGAGGGGCCCGGTTTGGCCACGTAACCGCCCAACTTCGTTTGTGGGAGGAGGGGGCCAGGATGGGAGGAGGCGCAGGGTCCCACGGCAGCCCCGACCCAGGCGGATGGCGGGGGCGGCAACTCCCGGAGTCCCAGCCGCGAGGCCAGGCCCCGCCTAAGGGCCAAAGACCACTCTGGAGCGCCCTCTTCCCCGAGGGGCGCATCCTGCAGCCTTCGAGCGGGCCCCGCGGCGCTGCGGGACTCCAGGCGTCCGGGAACCCACCGGCCGCCAGGGCCGCGGTGCGGGAACAAAGCCAGGGCCAGCGCGTGCGAGCCGGCTTCGTGAACTGGGGAGCGCGCACCTCTCGGGCAGCCCCGACGTCTCTCCGCGGCGGCTCGCAGCCCTCCCTCCCCGCGGCAGACCGACCCCAGACCTCTCGCGCGCATACCTTGTTCTTGACCTCGGCGGAGAGCCCGTAGGAAGGGCCCTTGTTGAAGTGGGTCATGGCGGTTCCGACGACGGGAAGCGGCTGCGCTCGGGCTCGGGGGGTCTGTCGCCCTCGGTGTCCCTACTCCTCGTCCCAGCGGCGGCCGCGCGGGAGATGCTCGAGCTCGCTCCTCTGCGCGGCGCGAGAGACTCCGGGGCGCGGCTGGGGCACGCGGGCGATGCTTCGAGGGTTCGGTCGGACTCGGGTCCCGCGGAGGCTCAGGGTCACTCTAGAGTGGGGCTGGCTGCCCGGCTCGCTACCCGCTCCGCAGCTCCGCACGCTCTGCCCCCAGCCTGGTCCCCCCCCAGGCCTCCGGGGATTGGCCGGGGAGCCCGACCAATGGAGCGCCGCCTCCTCCCCCTCCCCGGCTCCAGGGCTTCGTGGCCAATGGCAGCGCGGCCGGCGCGCCGCTCCCTCCCGCGGGTCCCAGCCCCCGGCCCCGCCCTCACGCCACCGGGGACCTCAGCGCCCCTCCTCCCGGCTGGTCAGCGGGCTGCGGCCGCCCCGCCCCGGCGCCTGGGGGCTTCCCAGCCGCCGCGGTTCTCATCAACTCCCAGGCATCCGTGACGCTCCGTCGATGGAGGGGGACAGGAAGCTCCCAGAGCTGGCCCGCCGCTAACCGGCCACTCCATCCGCCTCCTCCCGGATCACAGCGCGCCCCGATGCCGCGCTGAAAATCCCGGGAGCAGCCTCCACATGTCTGGCACAGGGAGGCCTGCAGCAACACCTGCCAGGTCCTCCCTCCCCACGCAGCTGCCGCACCTGTGTGGGTCTGACCTCTGTCTTGGTCAAGGCTCTTTGCCAAATTCCTGCTCACCCTGTCTACACTTTAAAAGGAGTGCGAAAGAAATTGGGGAAAGTGCCATGGCAAAGTCTTGGGGGCTTTTCAGATCCTTTTCTGGATTCGCACCGGTTGCCCTCTGCACGCGTCTTTACTGGGAGGAAGTTCAGCCAGTCCAAAAGTCTAGGTGGCTGTTGCCCTGTTTAGTTTTAGTTTGTTACTTTATTTTTTACTTAGAGGACTGTCCTGAATCAGGAGTCTACCTGCTTTTGTTTGTTTTCTTTTTAGTCAGAGGTCTCTTTGAATCAGCACTCTGTAGTCTTTCCTGTCCCCTTCGTTTCTTCTGATCTCAAAGGCAAACTGATAGAGGAAGGTGAGAACAGAACATTGGCCCTCGCCTCTGCTCCTGGGACTACACTGGACTGTATGTCTTCCAGAGGTTAACCCATTTACTTACCCAGAACTACGAGGTGGAATTCATGTCTGTTTTAGCGGCTCGAAGGCTGCAACTCAAGATTCCTAATACGACCAGAGTCACCACCTCCATAGTGGAGCCTCATGCTTTGGCGTTCTGGAGCACACCCAAGACGGGTTTCACTCCTCTGAGTCCTAATATAAGGGTTTTATTTTCCCAAATACAAGCTGATGTTCCAGATGAGCCCACAGAACCAGGGATGGCTGCCTGAACCAAACGAGCCCAAATAGCCAAGTTGAACCTTTCTGGGATAGAAATAAGGAAATATGGCATGGTGTCCCAGCAATTCCAACACAAAAGGATTGCTGTGAGTTTGTGTTGGAGGTCAGCCTGAGCTATATAGAAAAGAAAAAGGCAGAAAATTTCTGTTAGCTGAAAGAATTTTTCATCTGTAAGGTACAGTGTGATGGGATAGGGATGGGTCGAATAGGCAGAAACGTGAGATAACTTAGGATTTACCGATTGCTTCTGAGGTCCTAAGACAAATTAGGGCATTCTTTCCACAGACAGATGACGCAACTGACCCAATATGATGATGGAACGAGTGGTTGGCCCTGTTTTTCCGGTCCTGTGATAGTGGCCCTGTGTCATCCAGCAGACCAAACCCATTTTTTAGAACCAGCACTTGAAACCTGGCAGCCAGATTTGAAGTAGAAATTACAGCCCCCGCCACAGCTCTCCTGCAGAACCCCAAGCCTCGGGGCTTCTGTTTGGCCGCAGTGGGTAACGAATTGTGGTCAATGCTATTTTGATCTCCTAAATCATCCTGGGTACAATGCTTGGGTTTTTTTTTTTTTTCCTTTTTGTCGCCCAGGGCGTGGATCCTAGTGTTTAACAAGTTATCACTAAGGACTAACAGAGCTTCAAAGGTGTGTGATGTGAAAGGCACCGCCCAGGGACAGTGGTGGCAGTCACAGCTGTGGGCATTTAGTGCTCTGGTCCCTCTGTGTGGCTTCAAAATGAACATTAGCGTTCCCCCCACTCTTATCCTCCCCAAAGTACACTTGTGTGGCTCTCCCACCAACACTTAGGGAAGTACTGTTGGTCCCAGCGGGTTCTGTCAGTGTGGCTGGGTTATTATTCTGTAGCGCCCTGCCAGGGATAAGTAAAGCTGTGTCAGGACTGAAATGTGGAGGCAGGAATGGGAAGGCACCTTAGTCCCAGCACTCGGGAGGAAGAGGCAGGCAGATCTCAGTGAGTTCAAGACCAGTCAGAGCTACACAGTGGGACCCTGTTTCTTAAAGAAGGAAAGAGAGGGGGAGGGGTGTGGACGACTTTTAGCCTTGGGCATAAGGAGGCCAAAGAGATACCTCAGTGGCCAAAGATGCCTCCTGCATAGCCTGATGACCACGGCTCTACAAGCTCAAGTCCCCAGAAGCTGTATGAAATCCCTTTTGTGTATGTGGGGGTGGGATGGAGGGGTATTTTCTTGATTTGAGGGATGCTGTTGTTTTGAAATAGATCTTCACTCTGACGATCAAATTAGCCTCAAAATGAAGTCAATTCTTCTGCCTCAGCCACCCAAGTGCTGGGATCACAGGTATAGAGCTAGGTCTGACACAGAGTTGCCAGCTGAAATGACTCTTGTAAGACTCTTCTCTTTTTTGTGCCGCTTGGGGAATGTTTATCCCTTACTTGAGGTGATATTGTTGGTATAACCAGCTCCCTAACCCCCCTCACATGGCATAGTGACTCACACCTGTAATCCCAGCACTAGAGAAGCTGGGGCAGAAGAATCACTGAGACTTCAAGGCTAGCCTGGCTACAGTATAAGACTTGGTGATGCATGCACATTTAACTCTAGCACTTGGGAGGCAGAGACAGGAGGGTCAAAATTCAATGTCATCCTCAGCTGCATGGTTAACCAAGCTTCCAAACTAACTAAATTAACCAGCCAAACTAAAACTTGCTAGGGTCCTGAAGAAGTCCCACAAAGACCACCGTCCATGTATACAATTAGCAAAAGCATTTATTATCTCGAGACGGTTCCAGCCTAGTCCCTCATCCTTACTGTGGAAGTGAAGGGTGCATTGGGGATTGATTGCCCTTTGTTCATGTCTTCCTCAGGAACTGACTTGTTCACTCCTCTCATCCCACCCCCTCCCTCTTATTCTTCTTCCTTTTCCTCTCTTCTGGATGACTCTCCCCATCCCCCTCCTTCCCTCCAACCCCTTTTTCGTTTTATCTTAATACTTCACTAATTTCACCGATCGTCATTCAAGATCTAAGGTAGTTGACTTCTAGGTTAGATGTGGACCAGTGCCTTTGGGTTTAACAGTCTGGAATTGAGCAAGAGAGCCAGGTGATGAGGTCTGGGAGACCTTCCGTGATGGTTTTGTGTATGGTGTGCTCATGTACAGTGTGACAGGGTTTCTCTGTGTAGCCCTGAATGTTCCTGAAACATTCATCTGTAGATCAGCTGGTCTTGAACTCATAGATCCAGCTGCCTCTGGTTGGAGCTCTGGGATTAAAGACATGTCCCACCATGCTCAGCCCCGTGTGCGTTTTAGAAAGATTCTGATATGTTGACTGATTATCAGGCAATGAGGATCATAGCCTCTGGGCATCCATCCATCCCACACATTTGCTCCTTTTCAGTTTCTTTATGTTCATTTAAGTCCTTGGGTTTGATGTAGCTTAAAGACTCCTGCCTATAAGGAGTAGGGCAAACACCGAGAATCTCCACCAAATAAGTTTTCTAAAGAAAAGCAATGGCCTGCATTCCGGTGCCACATTCCAGACATCCTTATTGCTTACCAAAGACTTAGATAATTTGATTTAAGAAGGGATCAGAATACTAATGCAGTTTAATTCCTTTGTAAACTTGTTTACACTGAAATATTAAAGCCAGGCTCCTTTCTGAAACACAACTCTTTTAACACCGTGGCAAGGGAGAAGCTTCAATCTGTTCAAAGTTGCTGGACACCTGTTTCTTTTTTTTTTAATATTTATTTATTTATTATGTATACAATATTCTGTCTGTGTGTATGCCTGCAGGCCAGAAGAGGGCACCAGACCTCATTCCAGATGGTTGTGAGCCACCATGTGGTTGCTGGGAATTGAACTCAGAACCTTTGGAAGAGCAGGCAATGCTCTTAACCACTGAGCCACCTCTCCAGCCCGCACCTGTTTCTTAAAATAATTATGTTTAGTTGCATCTCCAACACACACGCACGCATACTTAATTTTTTGGTAATGAAGATGCTTGGATTGATTCAATGATTTTTAAAGCATTCATATAGAAAACCGAAGACCCTGCTAAACCAAACTTTGTTTTCCTTCCCATTAGATTCTAAGCGTCAAGAGGGCAAGAGCCACCCAATACTTCAGACAAGGATAATAAGTATTCATTAGTCACGGCTAGGAGCTGAACTCTGTGGTAGGAACACTGCCTAACATGTTGCCTGGGCTGCCCCTCCGCAAGGCGATGACCACTACAATAAGTAATTGGGAGGCGGTTAAAATGAAACTTTGTTCGTATTGCAAGGAAACTTCAGTTTAGCCAATCAGAAACCAGCAGCTAACCTCTTATTAGGATTTAACCAATCAGAGGTTTCCTTTGCCTTGTTTCTGCAAACAGTTCACAAAAGCCTCCCTTCCCTTCGCTGTCTCTGTATGGAACTGTGCTGGTTAGGGTCCAATTCTGCCTGACTCATGAATCATGGCCACTTCATTATTTCCGAGTCTTGGTCTCATGCAGCTCAGAATGGACTGTACGGCTAAGAATGACCTCCAGCACCATATCTGCCTGCACGCCACTGAGAAGATAATGGACTAAACCTCTGAAACTGTGAACCAGCCCCAATTAAATGTTTTCCTTATAAGAGTTGCCGTGGTCATGGTGTCTCTTCAGAGCAATAGAAACCCTAGCTGAGATGTACAAAGTAGGGCCGGGTGGGAGGGAGGTGGTTAGGTCCTTAGCCCTCAGAAAGGATTAATGCAGTTCTCTTGGGACCGTAGTTCTCTCAAGAACAGGCTGTTCTGAATCGAAAGGCCAGACTGGTTCCTCCCTGCTTCAGGCTTCCAGTCTCTCTGCCTGCGTGAT